AAGTAAAAAAAAATGGGCTGTTTTAAACTCAGGCCGCAAAGATGCTCATCAGATTTGGGTGTGGATAAAGGTGTATAAATGTCTGTTTCCCAAGTATGTAAGCCACCTTGGATACAGAACTGACAATGGTTTCAATCTTGAGTAATATCTTAAAGTACTGCATTCAGTTAATCAGTTGCTGTTTCAAAACTCTCATCATGCCTACTATTGAGTTTTGTCATTACAGATTTTATCCTCTGCATCATTTAGTCAGACCCACAGAGGTATAAATAACTTTTCTTTCTTTTTTCTTTTATTTTTTTTTTAAATTTATTTATTTTATTTTATTTGTGAACATATTGTACAGAGGGGTTACAATTACATGGGCAGGATAACGCGTACATTTCTTACCAAGCATTGCAGCCTCCTCCTTTGTTTACCCTTCACATCCCTTCCCAGCCTCCCCCCCCCAGTCCCAATCCTTCCCCCCCCCCCCCCCCCCCCGCACTGACGTTGTAAAGCTCGTTTTGGACATGACAACTTGTACTTCTCATTGTTGCAACAGGTCCACCTGTATCCTTAAACGACTTGTTTTTCCCCATCTCCTCCACAAGTTATATTGACATCAAATATAGTGAAAGCAAGGGTTATACTGTGGGGGAGGGACATACAAAGCAACAAAGAAATAATCTTATAAACGCGTTAGAAACACATGCATGAAAGAAAAAAACATTGAAATACATATCTAAGGGTTCATTTTCCTAACATCACATTATCTGACCTTTTCCGCTTGACTAATACATATACTAGATATTGCAAATAAGGGAAACCATGGGGCTTATGTTTCTTTGGGCCTGGCTTACTTCGCTTAATATAATTTTTTCCAAGTCTTTCCATTTCCTAACAAATGGGGCAATGTCATTCTTTCTGATGGAGGCATAGAATTCCATTGTGTATATATACATTTTCTTGATCCATTCATCTACTGAGGGGCATCTGGGTTGGTTCCAGATCTTAGCTATGGTAAATAAGGCTGCAATAAACATAGTTGTGCTGGTAGCTTTAGTGTGGTCTTGTTTGTAAACATTTGGGTAAATGCCCAAAAGTGGGATTGCTGGGTCATAGGGGAGTTCTATGTGGAGTCTTTTGAGGAACCACCATACTGCTTTCCAAAGTGGTTGAACAAGTTTACATTCCCACCAACAATGAAGTAAGGTTCCCTTCTGTCCACATCCCCTCCAGCATCTGCTGTTGTTAGAGTTCTTGATTTTTGTCATTCTAACTGGAGTGAGGTGGTATCTCAATGTTGTTTTGATTTGCATTTCTTTTATGGCTAGGGATGTTGAGCATTTCTTCATGTGTCTATTGGCCATCCTTCTTTCTTCTTCAGAGAAGTTTCTCTTTAAGTCTTTAGCCCACTTGTTTATTGGGCAGTTGTTTCTTTGAGGATTTGTTGTTGGGGGATTTAATTTTTTTGAGTTCCAAGTATATTTTAGATATGAGACCCTTGTCCGTTTTTTTTTTTTTTTGTCAGTTGTGGTGCCTGAACTCTGGGCCTGGGCGCTGTCCCTCAGCTCTTCAGCTGTAGACTAGCGCTCTACCACTTGAGCCTCAGCCCCACTTCTGGCTTTTTCTGCTTATGTGATGCTGAGGAATCGAACTGAGGGCCTCATGCATGCAAGGCAAGCACTCTACCACTGAGCTACCTTCCCAACCCCATAAATAAGTTTTCCAAGTATTTGTTGATCAAATTTCTATTTTTAACAAGTTCCAAGTAAGCTTGGTTAAAAACTATTTCTACTGATCTCCTTGTTGCTCCATTTAAAAATAAAAAGTGTCTTGTGGCAAAAAGATTTCTTTGATCTGAGATTTGAGGTTTGAAGCTAGCCTGGCGGGGCAGAAAGGTCCCTGTGAGATTCTTATCTCTCCCTAACCAGTAGAATGTTGGAAGTGGTGCTGTGGCCCAAAGTGGTAGAGTGCTAGCCTTGAGCGAAAGAGCTCAGGGACAGTGCCCAGGCCCTGAATTCAGGCCAGTAACTGACAAAAGAAATGCCAACTGGGTCAAGCCCCCTAGCAACAAGCACCTAGACCCCCGCGACAAGCTAGTCCTGGTGACAAGGGATAATGGACAGGAGTTAAGAGGGGATGTGTCAGATCTTAAATGAAATCACTTTGTGCTGGCCTTTCAAAATTAACCAGAGCCAAGAGTCAAAAGAAAATAGTTAATAAGCATGCCTATCTAATGTTCATACCTGTCTTTCTTCTAAGTGGACAAGAATTTATAGTGAGTCTTAGACTCAAGACAGTTTGTCTTGGTACCTTCCTGGGTCTCCCATCCATACTCCATAGTCCAGACATCTATAGTCCAGCTACAAGAAATGTTCAAGGCCTCCTACTAGTCCCTTAACCACTCCAATCCAGCTCCAGCTTCTGACTAGTTTTTTTTTTTTTTTTTGTGGGTCATGGGGCCTGAACTCTGGGTCTGGGCACTGTCCCTCAGTTATTCAGCTCAAGGCTAGTGCTCTACCAGTTGAGCCACACAGCCACTTCCAGCTTTTTCTCTTATGTGGTGTTGAGGAATCGAACCCAGGGCCTCATACATGCAAGGCAAGCACTCTACCACTGAGCCACCTTCCCAGCCCTGACTAGTTATTCTTTTTTTGTCGGTTGTGGGGACTGAACTCAGGGCCTGGGCACTGTCCCTCAGCTCTTCAGCACAAGGCTAGTGTCCTACTACTTTAGCCACAGCGCCACTTCTGGCTTTTTCTGCTTATGTGGTGCTGAGGAATCGAACCCAGGGCCTCATGCATGCAAGGCAAGCACTCTACCACTGAGCCACCCTCCCAGCCCTGACCAGTTTTTCTTAACTAGTCCAATGCTCCCATACCTAGCTGCCAGATGTTAATCAGTTATAAGTAGGGACATGAGCCAACAGGAACTAGTCCTGAACTCTTCCTTCTGCCTTTTGTGTGCCCTCTAATAATAGTTTTTCTTATTGCTCAGCCCCTGCTCCTAAGGCTTCTTTTATAAATTTCACCCATACCTATGTTCATGACCGAGGAACTCTTAACTGCTGCCTTCTCCCAGACCAGACAATATCTCTGCCTTCTACCTCTAATGTCAACGTCCCTTGCCTGCAGGAAGTAGCAAGAGAAAATCAGCGCCCTTTATAACTATCAAAAGGCTAGAATGTTAGGTCTACCCAGGAAAAATGGCTTCTTCCCTTTGTTCTCCCTTGGTGTACAAGTGGCCCCTTTCCTAGAAGTCCTGCCCAGAACTTGCAAGCCTCCTGACTGGCACCTGGAAGCAGTGGGAGGTCTCCCAGGCCCTGAGGTCATCCTGCAGCAACTCCTTCCCAAACCTCCTCCCCATCCTTAGTCCCCCCCCCCCCCCCCCCCCCCCCCCCCCCCCCCCCCCCCCGCTTTTCCCTTCCCCTACATTCCTTGTGTCACCAGACAGAGATGAGGTTTAGTGAAGCTTCCCTTTAAATAAGGGGACTCTTCACCTAGGGTTCTTGACTTCAATTGCAGAATAAGAATTTCTGGACAAGTCACAATGGTAAGAAAACTTGGTAGAGCTTTATTAAGTAAACAAGGAAACAGACAAAAAAGCAGACAAACAGAAGCGTAGGGGCGCCCTCTAGCAGAGTGTGGGTGCTCTCATAGGGACACAAAGACACAGACACAGACACAGACAAGGAGACACCCAGAGAGACACCAGCTCCTTGGGCTGTTGGGTATTTATAGGGGAAAGGTGGGGGGGGGGGCGGTCTGGCTTTAAGTTATGCAAAGCTAGGTGCTTTGTCTTTGCTTTAATGACACCTGGTGTTCCAGGTAAGAATGCATCCTGCCATAAAGCAGATCCTTATCCTTGAAAGGAGGAGACACCCTGCTATCTGTATTTTGGGGTATCCTATCTGGCAGTTGTGAATTCTTGGGTGAGAAATGCACCCTTTGGGAAAGAATGCATTCAGTTGCCTTTATTTGAAGCAAAGAAGGCATTTCTGTTTTTAGGTAACATACTTCTGAGCTGCCCGCACCGGGCCTCCGCTTCCATGTTATCCTGCTTCATTTCCCCCAAAATGACTTGTTACCTCAATCTTAAGGGAAGTTCGGAAGGAATATCTCCTGTATTTGCTATTAGCTGACCATACCTTATTTTCCCGAGTCTATCCAGCGACACTTGAACCCCCTGCACCCTCTTGTCCGGTGCAGCCCAGCAGTATGCTCTTTCCCCCAATAAACCCTCTTCTGCCAGAACCCTGCGGAGGTCTCTTTTCTGTGAGCCTGGAGTGAGAAAGCCAAGTGAGAAGGGTAAAGTTCAAGCCTGAATATTGGGAAATATTGGGGAAAACAGATTTTAAAGTTGTTCTCCCCTCAACTTTGGGCTATTGGGTTATAGACGTTTGGGCATCTGTTTATAGAAAGCTTGAGCTCTGCCAGAGGCTCCTTCAAGACAGTCTGCAGATGTGAGATGAGTATTTCCTTTGCAAACACTGGTGCCCAGAGTTCTCCCTACCTCATGTTCCAGGATTTTTTTCTTTCCTTTTTTTGGGGGGGGGGGGTGGTCCGGTTGTGGGGCTTGAACTCTGGGCCTGGGTGCTGTCCCTCAGCTCAAGGCTAGCACTCTACCACTTGAGCCACAGCACCACCCCCGGCTTTTTTCTTATGTAGTGCTGAGGAATCGAACCCAGGGGCTCCGGCATGCAAGGCAAGTGCTCTACCACTGAGCCACCTTCCCAGCCCCCTTTTCTTTTCAAATGAAGATATTCTTACTCAGTTTAACTGTGCCCACGGACAACCGTGGCGGAACAGAGCTTCCTTTTCCTTTTTTTTCTTTCCATTAAACTGCGTTCGGGGGAGGTGGTAAGGCTAGAAGCAAACCGCACCTGCGCGCTTTGCAGCGAGCGCTTCTCCAGCCAGGGTCGGTCTCTGAACGCCCGGCGCCGCCGCCCCTGCCGCGCGTGCGCGTGCGCGTGTCACACTGGGGAGCGTGGTGCGCTTCGGCCTAATTTTATTGTCATGCTTGGTAACTTCGGGGACGGGGGAGCGGCCAGGAACCGCAGGCTCCCTTCCCGCTCGAAGTTCCTGGATGCTTTCAGCACGTGGACCTACGCAAGCCGCCGCTCCGCGCCTCCCGGCCCCACAGCACGCTCTGGCCTCCCTCTGCACGCACGCGCCCCTGCGCCCCCGCGCCCCTTTGCACGCCCGGCCCCGCGCACTACCTCCCCCGCCGCGCGCGCTCTCGCCCCGCGCGCCCCCCGCCCCGCCCCGCCCCGCGCGCCCCCGCCCCGCCCCGCGCGCCCCCGCCCCGCGCGCTCTCGCCGCGCCCGCGCCCCCGCCCCGCCCCGCCCCGCGCGCCCCCGCCCCGCCCCGCGCGCCCCCGCCCCGCCCCGCGCGCCCCCGCCCCGCCCGCGCGCCCCGCCCCGCGCGCCCCCGCCCCGCCCGCGCGCCCCCGCCCCGCCCCGCGCTCTCTCGCCGCGCCCGCGCCCCGCCCCGCGCGCCCCCGCCCCGCCCCGCGCGCCCCGCCCCGCCCCGCCCCGCGCGCCCCGCCCCGCGCGCCCCCGCCCCGCCCGCGCGCCCCCGCCCCGCCCGCGCGCCCCCCGCCCCGCCCCGCGCGCTCTCGCCGCGCCCGCGCCCCCCGCCCCGCGCGCTCTCGCCGCGCCCGCGCCCCCGCCCCGCCCCGCCCGCGCGCCCCCGCCCCGCCCCGCGCGCTCTCGCCGCGCCCGCGCCCCCGCCCCGCGCGCCCCGCCCCGCCCCGCGCGCCCCGCCCCGCGCGCCCCCGCCCCGCCCGCGCGCCCCCGCCCCGCCCCGCGCGCTCTCGCCGCGCCCGCGCCCCGCCCCGCGCGCGCCCCCGCCCCGCCCCGCGCGCCCCGCCCCGCCCCGCGCGCCCCGCCCCGCCCCGCGCGCCCCCGCCCCGCCCGCGCGCCCCCGCCCCGCCCCGCGCGCTCTCGCCGCGCCCGCGCCCCCGCCCCGCGGGCTCTCGCCGCGCCCGCGCCCCCGCCCCGCCCCGCCCCGCCCGCGCGCCCCGCCCCGCCCCGCGCGCTCTCGCCGCGCCCGCGCCCCCGGCGCCGTTTGCGGCGAGCTCTCCCCCCTCCCTCCCACTGCCCCGTCCTCTCCCCTTCGCAGTTCCCCGGCGCAGCCCCAGCGTCCCGGATCCCGGCTCGGGGCCGCGCCCGCTGCGATCTGCGTGGCGCGCCGAGCTTAGGGGACCGGCGGGTGTCAGCGGCGGGATGAGCCTGCGCCCGTTCTCCCGCAGGGCGCCCCTCTCGAGAGCCTGCAGTGCGCGGTCCCGGGATGGCCTGCCGGGTCCGGGACGTTCAACCGCGCCCCTGCCGGGCCCGTCCTCGGAGCGGGGCCCGGCCCCGCGGGGCCGCCGGGCGCGGAGGCCGCCCTGGCTGGCGCTGCGCTGGCCGGCCCTGAGGAGACTGTGGGCCTCCGGAAGAGGCACAGGCACGTGGGGCGCCGGGGAGCCCGGGAAACGCGGGTTAGGCCGGCGGCCGGGGGTTTGTCAGTGTCAGCGACCGACCTGGCGTCCAGCCCTCCCGCCCCCTCCCGCCCCCAGAACCCGGCCCCAGAACCCGGCCCCAGCATCTCACGCATCAGCCGGGCGCCAGTGGCTCACGCCTGTCCTAGCTACTGAGGAGGCTGAGATCTGAGGATCGCGGTTCAAAGCCAGTCCGGGCAGGAAAGACTGTGAGACTCATCACCAAGAAACCACCAGAAAACCGGAAGCGGCGCTGTGGTTCAAATGGTAGAGCGCCCGCCTTGAGCTGAAGACGTCAGGGACAGCGCCCAGGCCCAGAGCTCAAGCCCCAGGACACACACAAACACACACACACACACACACACACACACACACACTAATGTGGCATTAATTAGTTGCACCAGGAGGTTCAGGTGTACATACAATATATCTTAAAGTCATAGTGTGTGTCCTGGGGCTTGGCACTGCCCTTTAGCTTTTTTGCTCAAGGCTGGTGCTTTACCACTTGAGCCACAGCTCCACTTCCGGCTTTTTGGTGGTTGAAAGTCTCCAGGACTTTCTGCCAGGCTGGCTTCCAGCTTCCACCTTCAGATCTTAGCCTCCTGAGTAGCCACCTGCCTTGGCAAGGGCTGATTTCCTAATCTGGAAGATGTTCTAGAACACAGCTTCCAGCCCGCCTTTGCAAAACCATCAGGGTGCAGGCTGGAGCTTCCCGTTTACCTGTGAGGGCAATTGTGAATTAAATAGCTCTTCCTACCACTTCCCCCTTTTATTAGCAGAGACCTCGGAATCCCAAGCGTTGGTCCCGCTTCAGTCCCAGCAGCCGCCGCAGAGCACCGTAGAACAGAGCCAACCCGTCCAGCAGGGGTGAGATGCTTTATGTAAGAACATTGGGTCTTTGGGAGGGAGGAGTCTTTGCAGAACTGACTTGGACGGCAGCTTGTGAAACAGCTCCTCTGGCGTGTGCCCGTGTGGGCAGGAGGCTGATGTGGGTCTGTAATGGATTGCACTAGGCTTGGGATTTATGGGCTAGAGGATGGATGCCTGGTACTTCCAGCTGCAGAGTGACAGCCACACTCCGGGAAACCGAGTTTCGTAGGAGGCTGTTTCTGATACCGTTGGTTGAGCTTAGTAACGAATGAACCGTGCAGTTTTCTGGACATTTTCTCAATGTACTTTCATTAAAAGCCTGATGGTTGCCTCTTCTTAAATAAATTGGAAGGGCAGCCGGGCCCTGGTGGCTCACGCTTGTAATCCTAGTTACTCAGGAGGCTGAGATCTGAGCATCACCGTTCAAAGCCAACCCAGGTAAGAAATTCGGCAAGACTTACCTCCAATGGACCCCCAGAAAACCGGAAGTGGAGCTGTGGCGCAAAGTGGTAGAGTGTTAGCTTTGATGGAAGAGTTCAGGGACAGTGTTCAAGACGCATAACCGACCAGAAAACAAAACAAAAAAAAATGGAAAGGGCTAAAATTTTGAAGAAAAGTGCAATACAGAAAATACTTTTGTAGCAGAGTTAAAGGGAAACAAATGGGCATTTCTGAGTTGATGGTGCTTCAAATGTACATATGCTTTCGATTTTATCTTTTGACAACTCTACAAAACAGTATTATTTCTGTTTCAAAGATAAGGTCCAGACAGATTACTCAACCAGCTCAAGGCTGGACAGCCCCAGAGTTAGGATATATACCTAGGTCTTTGACACTAAAATGATTTCACTCTAGCTGGGCTCTGGTACCTCATGCCTGTAATCCTAGCTACTCAGGAGGGTGAGATCCGAGGATTGTGGCTTGAGGTCAGCCTAGGTAGGAACGTCTGTGAGACTTACCTGTAATAAACTACTAAAAAATTGAAAGTGGATCTGCTGTAGTTCAAGTGATAGAGTGCTAACCTTTAGCTCAGAGACAGCAGTCAGGCCTTGAGTTCAAGCCGCAGGACTGGCACAAAAAGAAAAAAAATTCACTCTACCAGATTACGTCAAAGGCTTATTTCTTCTTGCTTTCCATTTTAGTCCTCTTCTGTAACATTTTGTTTCAAGGGACAGACTATACTGATGTCTTTTACATAACTTAGTTACAATGCTATGATTTAAGAAGATTTCTAGAAAATGTGGAAGAAACAGCTCCAGATTTAAAGGGCTTGCCTCCAGGCAGTAGCATAGGGTGGAAGGGATAGGCACAGGTACCTTGCATTTCATTATGTTTCTATGTGTTGGTACTGCTATTCCTTCCTTCCTTCCTCCCTCCCTCCCTCCCTCCCTTCCTTCCTTCCTTCCTCCCTTCCTCCCTCCTTTCCTCCCTCCTTCCCTTCCTTCCTTCCTTCCTTCCTTTCCTTTTCTTCCTTCCTCCTTTCCTCCTTCCTTCTTTCTCTCCTTCCCTGTCTCCTTTCCTTCCTTTGTTCCTTCCCTCATTTCTTCCTTATTCTATGTGTGTGTGCTGATCCTGGGGCTTGAACGCAGGGCCGAGGTACTGTCCCTGGACTTTAGTGCTCAAGGGTAGCACTCTGCCACCTGAGCCATGGTTCCATTTCTGTCTTTTTGGTGATGAATTGGAGATAAGAATCTCACAGACTTCCATGCCTGGTCTGGCTTTGAACTGTAATCTTCAGCTATCAGCCTCCTTAGTAGCTAAGATTACTGGTGTAAGTAGCCAGTGCCCAGCCTTCTTTCTTTCCTTTTTTAACCAATGTGCAACCATCATTTTGATAAATATTGTAAGGGAGTAATTAACAAATTACAACCAGAGAGAGAGAGAGACAGAGAGAGACAGAGAGACAGAGACAGGGAGAGAGAGGCAGGAGGTGGAGAAAGAGGTGCTTTCTAAATAACTATATTCCAAAGAAATAAAGTAGGAATTATTACAATTTGAAATGCATATGTTTATGGAAACCGTGTGTGTATTCCAAGGAGAGGGGTAAAGGGAAATGTTTAAAGGCAAAATGAGGATTATAGAAATCATTTTGGGACTATGATCTTTAGCCACAGGATTAGTAATAAAGGTGTTCAAGAACCAATAAGAAATGGAGCTCTAGCCACAGGTGCAGAGTCCTTGGAGAAGTATTCTCTGTGCCAGGTTTCAAGATCCTTGTGTGAAGTTGTGCTCTTAAGGGGTTATTATAGTAGACCTTGTTACACGCCATCTGTCTACCAAAAGTCCTCCCTTCTGGCCCTCCCTCTGGCTTCATCTCCTCGGGTTGACATCAGCAACTCCATTTTGAATGTGGCAACTTTTGCACAACTCATTAGCATTTTCGAAACAACTGGCAGAAAATCAGGAAGCGGCACTCACTTGATATAAAGTAAATACAGGCTTTATATGCTCCGCCAATGTCCAATCTCAAGAATCATAAATCTGAAGTCATCTGTAGCACAGATTTTCCAAGAGTTGTGAGTGTTATTATTAATGATATGATTACTAAATCCCTTAGAGAGAAGCCCATAATTACCTTGGAGTCTGCAGTCAACCAGAAGAGGGTGGAGTTGAAGTCAGCACCGAAGCCTGAGAGTGAAGGCAAGTTAGAAAAGCAAGCAGATGAGGTAGGTGTAGCAAGAATTAGATGGAGTGTTGTTTTTTTTTTTTTTTGGGTCCGGTCATGGGGCCTGAACTCTGGACCTGGGCTTTGTCTCTCAGCTCTTCAGCTCAAGGCTAGTGCTCTACCACTTGAGCCACAGCACCACTTCTGGATTTTTTCTTTTTGCTTATGTGGTGCTGAGGAATCGAACCCAGGGCCTCATGCATGCAAGGCAAGTGCTCTACCACTGAGCCACCTTCCCCACCTTAGATGGAGTGTTTTAACCTCTTGGTGACTTCTCTACTTATTTGGACGGTGTCTAAAAAAATATCCACACTGACTTAGGATATTGGTTGGGTAGCATGTATTTAAGTTCTTTAAAATGTGCTAATTGATACATTGTAACATATATACACAAGTGTGTGTGTGTGTGTGTGTGTGTGTGTGACTGTGAAACCATTGCCACAGTCATTATAATGAATAATAATGAGCATCTCTCTCTAGTATAAAAGTTACTGGGGCTTAAACTCAGGGCCTGAACACTGTCCCTGAGCTTTTTCACTCAAGGTTGGAGCTCTACCCACTTGAGCCACAGTTCCACTTCCACCTTTTTGGAAGTTCAATGGAGATAAGAGTCTTACAGACTTTCCTGTCCAGGCTGGCTTTGAACTATGATCCTCAGATCTCCTGTGTAGCTAGGATTACAGGCCTGAGCTACTAGTGCCCAGCTGAAACAAGACTCTTAATCTCTTTAATGAGTTAATAATTTGAAAAGTCATAGGTTTTTATTTCTTACTATATGATAGAAGAGGAAGGTGTACAATTGGTTTGACAGACCAGTTTTTTTTTTAATGATTTTAGAGATGTCAATTATTACAACTTTATTATCCAACCAGTGAATTACCAAATTGAATAACTGATAAGAATTTCAGGTTCTCCTTAACGTATATTTTCACAGAATACAGGAACAATTTCTAGCATGCTTCAGGACCATGTGTTCAAATTATATTTCCAAAAGACAGATTTGTGCTAGAGCACAGAGCAAGTTAGAAACCCTCATGAATATATATGCATATATAAAGTATATATATAGTTATAAATAAATAAATATATATATATATTTTTGTCGATTGTGGGGCTTGAATTCTGGGCCTGGGCGCTGTCCCTCAGCTCTTCAGCTCGAGGTGAGCGCTCTCCTGCTTGAGCCACAGCGCCACTTCTGGCTTTCTGGTGGTTAATTGGAGATAAGAGTTTCACAGACTTCCTTGCCCAGGATGGCTTTGAACCCTGATTCTCAGATCTCAGCCTCCTGAGTAACTGGGATTATAGGGAAGAGCCACCAGTACCTGGCCATTCATGAATATTTATAAAGCTTCCATACTGTAGCACAGAGCAAGGTTACTGTTTCTGTGAATGTTTTCAATTTAACACTTTGAGGTAGATTTTTTTTTTTTTTAACAAGTGGTATGCTGCACAGAGTTACTGTTGCCTCTGTAACTGGATCGCCATTGCCCTTGATACTTTAGAAGCCTCCTTTACAAAATGTTTATGACGACTTGCATTTCCTTCCTTCCTTCCTTCCTTCTTTGCTTCTTTTGTCAGTCGTGGAGTTTGAACTCTGGGCCTGGGCGCTGTCACTCAGCTCTTCAGCTCAAGGTTAGCGCTCTATCACTTGAGCTACAGCACCACTTCCAGCATTTTCTCTTTATGTGGTGCTGAGGAATCGAACCCAGGGCCTCATGCATGCAAGGCAAGCACTCTACCTCTGAGCCACCTTCCCAGCATGACTTGCATTTTAAAGGGTGGGCTCTGGTAACCTTATAAGAAAAAGGCAGGCCTGTAGAATTCAGCAATTACTCCCAAAACTGAAGAGAACAGAGTAAGATGTTTTATTTTTGAGTGTGTATGCCATGTGCTGGGGCTTGAACTCTGGGCCTTGTGCTTTCACTTGGCTTTTTTTTGCTCAAGGCTGGTGAGCCACAACTCTTATTTCTGGCTTTTTGCTGGTTAATTGGAGATAAGAATCTCTTAGTCTTTTCTGTCCATGCTGGCTTTGAAGTTTGATCCTTAGACCTCAGCTTCCTCAATAACTAGAACTGCAGGTGTGACCCGCCAGCTCCAGGACAGAGTAAGGATTTTATTTAATACTGAAACGAGTGGGGCACCGGTGGCTCAAGCCTATAATCTTACTCAAGAGGCTGAGATCTGAGGATCTCCGTTCAAAGGCAGCCTGGGCAGGAACCTCTGTGAGACTCTTACCTCCAGTAAACCACCAGAAAAATGGGGAGTGGCGCTGTGGCTCAAGTGGTAGAGCACTAGCCTTGAGCTGAAGAGCTAAAGGAGAGTGCCCAGGCCCAGAGTTCAAGCCCCACGACTGATGAAAGAAAGAAAGAAGGAAAGAAAGAAAGAAAGAAAGAAAGAAAGAAAGAAAGAAGGAGTGTGTAGCATTGCTTCTTGGTAGTATAGCTTCTTGAAGTATAGCAGAGATGTGAAAGGGTTTTCTTATTCTTGCTCTCAAGGTCTTCCCAGATTGTTAAGAAGCATCATCAGCTCAATTTTTCAGACCAATAATGCACACTGTTTAACTTGGTTTTCTCTATTTTAGACCCTGATAGCAAAACCTGCCTTGCATGAACTATTGTTTCTCATGTTCTGTGCTCATTTGAACCTCACTGCATGACAGGCTTGTTTGTTTCACCTTTCTTTTTGTTCTCCCAGGTCATCTGGGTGGACCCTTTGCATCAGTTAAGTCCTATTCTCTGCATATACCCTTTAAAATACCCAGAATTAGCTGGGCGCTGGTGGCCCAGGCCTGTCATCCTAGCTACTCAGGAGGCTGAGATCTGAGGATCACAGTTCAAAGCCAGGAACCTCAGCAGAAAAGTCTGTGAGATTCTTATCTCCAGTTGACCACCAAAAAGTTGAAAGTAGAACTGTGGCTCAAATGGTAGAGCACTAGCTTTACAAAAGCTTAGGGAGAGTTCACAGGCCCTGAGTTCAAGGCCCAGGCCTGGCACCCACACAAAATAAAAAAGTGTTATTTATTGCTTTATATAATTCATGAAATGCTGCCAAGAGCAAAGATGAAATAAATGCCTCTTGAGCTCCTAGCATGTGAGGAACACCAGCTTTTATCCTAAAATCAGGCCTTGGAGATAGCTGAACACAGATAGAGGCCCACCCCCAGCCCGCCTACATTCTGTCTTTTCCTTTCTATTCCCTGTAACCATCTGTCATTTCCAAATTCATCCCCTGATTCACTGTGTGTCAGCTATGACTGCCTCATTTCTGTTTGTCTGTTTCCTTCCTCAGGGCCTTGTTCTTTGTAGATCATCAGGTCTGCTCTTTCCTGGGTTTTCAAATCCAGCCCATGTATGATTCCATAGATTAGATACCTCTCCAAAGTCATCTGTGGGCAGCCCTGACTTGTGGTGTGGTTGTATTAGGTGCTAAGAAGTAGTTAAGGGGCCGGGCGCTGGTGGCTCACGCCTGTAATCCTAGCTACTCAGGAGGCTGAGATCTGAGGATCGTGGTTCAAAGCCAGCCCGGGCAGGAGAGACCGTGAGACTCCTATCTCCAATAAACTACCAGAAAAACCGGAAGTGGCGCTGTAGCTCAAGTGGTAGAGCGCTCGCCTTGAGCTGAAGAGCTGAGGGACAGTGCCCAGGCCCAGAGTTCAAGCCCCACGACCGACAAAAAAAAAAAAAGAAGTAGTTAAGGTTAAATGAGGTCATGAGGGTGGGACTCCTAGCCGATAAGGTTAGAGGGAAGAGACCTCCTGGAATTCTTTCATTCTCTCTATCTTTACTCCCACCCTGTGAAGAAACTCAGAAATCACAAGTCCAACTGGCACTGGTGGCTCACGCCTGTAATCCTAGCTACTCAGGAGGCTGAGATCTGAGGATCATGGTTCAAAGCCGGCCTGGGCAAGAAAGTCTGTGAGACTCTTTTTTTTTTTTTGGTCCGGTCATGGGGCCTGAACTCTGGGCCTGGGCGCTGTCCCTCAGCTCTTCAGCTCAAGGCTAGTGCTTTACCACTTGAGCCACATCGCCACTTCCAGCTTTTTTCTTTTTGCTTATGTGGTGCTGAGGAATCGAACCCAGGGCCTCTCCATGCAAGGCAAGCGCTCTACCACTGAGCCACCTTCCCAGCCCCACTGTGAGACCCTTATCTCCAATAAACCACCAGAAATCCAGCAGTGTTGCTGTGGCTCAAGTGGTAGAGCGCTAGCCTTGAGTTGAAGAGCTGAGGGACAGTGCCCAGGCCCAGAGTTCAAGCCCCAGGACGGACCAAAAAAGAAAAGAAAAGAAATCACATGTACACACAGTCAGATGGTGGCCACCTACATGTTTAATGTCTATCAAGTCAGCTCATAGTCAGTGAGGTTTGGGTCACGTTGGCCAGAGCAGACAAATACATGAATTTTTGGTGGGGTTCCCCTTGACCTCTCTAAGGGCTGACCCCTCATCAGTGGACTCCTGATCTTCACTTCTCCTGTGTTCTTTGCCAGGACTCCTTTGTTGCTGATTAATCTTTTTTTTTTTTTTTTTTTTTCCATATTCCATGTCTCCCTCCTTGCTAGAGCCTCAACACCAGAGTTTACCTGTGCTGTTTTCTTCCCTGCCTAGGTCATGCCCTCCCCAGACCCCAGGAACCCCTTTGTTTTGTTGTACTCAGACTTGAGACCCCACCCCCCACCCCCAAAGATCACCAGACACCAAGATCAATGTGAACAGCAAAAGAGTCGTTTATTACAAGCTCGAGCCTGGTCCTCCGCGCACCAGGTAACTGGTGACGCTAAGAGGCCCGGAGCCCAGAGTTAGAGCACTTTCTATACACTTTTTAGGGAGGGCAGGGACTTTGCATACATCATAGCATCTGTAACACATCACTACACATCTCGGGAAAGTCATTAAACAATTCTATAGTATAATTGGTGCACCACCAAGCGGGAAAGGACCGGAACAGGTTGTTGGTTAGATCCAAGGGCTGACGTACTTTAAACTGGCTCGAACCACAGGGGAG